TTATGAAATATGAAAGTTATGAAGAATATGATGAAGTGCTTTTTGGAACCTCCGGTGGTCTCAAAGAGTTGAAGAGGTTAAGGTAGATGTAGCGTGGCTTTATTGCAAACTAGGCTAACTACTCTAGCTGATCCAGAAACAGTGGAAATATATTTCTCTGACAAACTAACATGTTGGCACATCATCCACTGATGAGAAAAGACCCTGTGTAAGACTGTGTTGTACCGATGCTGTACCAGTTGTAGTTTTAGCTCATATCTGTCAACACCTCCTTTACTCATCTGACATGGAAACTATCAATCCCCCAGTTTTTTTGAATAACAGAACATGTTTTCAAATGTATTCCTCTGCTTGCTGCTAAATTATTGTACTACTAATTGTTTTTCCTTTTAACACTGGTGCTATCAGCCAAAAGAGTAAGCCTCCACCTCCAGCTCTTTAACAGTTTTAACCAAAACTTTTATTTTGCCATTTTTTCATTGTTTTTCACTTCCCCACAGTTAACCAACTATCTGTTTATTAGAATGCACATCCCTAATCGTGATATATACCGCATCATGAAGTTGGCTGTCCTAGTTGGACAAAACATCCAATTGCGATTTTCCTGACCAATGCTGTGACCACTTTCTTGTGATTATTTTCTATAAATTGAGGTCCAGGCCCTTTTTTGGCCAAGAAGCCCATCATATCCTCTTTTTCTGGCTGGAGGCTTGAGCACTGAACATAGTGCTCCAGACTGCCAAATTAGCATGTTCATAACAGATGTTTGGTTGCTTCTGTTTGGTCTAACTCACCTACAGGCAGTTTCACAAGGTCCATGTTACTAGGTTAAATTTCCCCACTTAAAAATTAAGACAACATTGTTGGTAAAATAGGCTATAATAAAACTGCAGTTCTTGCAATTTGAAAGTTGTGATTTCAATATAAAAACGACCAATCTTTCAGCCCTATGTGAAGTTGCTAACAATACCCAGCCTTAAATGTCATGGCATCACGATCATCAGGTGTGGTTATGGATACTTCTCAAGCACCTCCTGGGATTCAAGCAGCTTGGAAGACTGAACATAACACCGCTGCAAGCCTAAAATATTCAGTGACAGGAGAGTCTCATCTGTGGTGGTAGTTTGAAAACAAGCTGGCTTTGTTGGCAGCCTGATCCAGGTCTGCGGTTTTGCAGAGACATAAGCCCAGGCTTTCAAGGCAGCCATCGCCGGGGAAACACAAGCCGGAGCAGGCACGTCAGCAGGACGCACATGCAGAGGGAGGGCTTAAGGTCATCACTGACGCTTACATAACACATTAACCTTCCCTGGAGGCTCTCTCAAAGCTGTGTTTGAGCAGCCGCACATATGCCTTTTGGCCCATGCGTAGATTTGGCCTTCACTAAACATTGGCTTAGCATGAAATAGCCCTTCACAAATACTATCTTTTGTGTCCCTTTCTACACTTTGTGTATGCTAGGAGGAGCTCAACATGCCAGGCATTGGGTTAAATTACATAGCGGATGAGCTAAGCACACATTACACCGGGGCTGTCAACACAGATATGATTCAGACTGGCACTGGCTCATGCTAGGCATGAAAATGAACCCCTAAATGCTTAGCCAAAAAACACTACTTCTGCCTTTTAAACTACTCTGTTAATAATCTCTGTTAATAATGTAACTTATCATTGCTATCATCATCAATATGTCCTAACAAATCGCACCAAGTGTTCGTGTCTCAAACTATTTTTCTGAAAAAGCACATTTTGCTTCAGCTTTTGTTACTCTGATGAAACAAAGCAATAATAAGCACTTCCACAGCAGCGCATGGAAAATGCAAGCTATAGGGTAAGGCTACAGGTGGTACTTCATAACTGAATTTCTACAGACAACAATTGTTTGTCTAAATTCAAATTATCGTCCAAGCTTATTCTGTAAACGTGAACATAATGTGAACTGCATCCTGAACTCAAAAACTACTACAGTGTGTCCATCAATAAAGGCAGCTTCTTTAATACAGCGATAAACACAGTAGCTCACAGAACGCTCCAATGACACATGCTGAACCATTTCACTCTGACCAATGTGAACATTTTAATGAGTTAAAGGAGACAACGTCTCTGAATGTATTGCTGGTAAGACTTTAGGACAGCCTGGGTTATGCTTAAGAAAGAAGCCATGGTTAAAAAGGGCTGTTTGCTTTCTATACCTTCCTGTTATGTCAACAAATTAGCATTTGTCAAACGAAAGAGGAAGCACTGGAGAACGCTGAAAAGCATGCAGAAAATAAAGTGGTACATAATACATGTCTCTTTCAAACTGCTCCTCTCTGTAAAAGACTGTTTGCCATAACTGAGAACAAGGTGCTCAGGTCAATGCCTGCATTAAAGTACAGCATTGTACAGCAAGATCCATTACTGAGATATGACAGCATAAATTTCTTTTTATTACCAATATTACTGATGGCCAGAGTAAGCAGGTGTTAAGTGCCTTAATAAGCAGAATGTCACCATCGGATGGCACAGGACAATGTACCCTTTTATGCCCTTTCAAAGGCAATGCTGCGTCAGTCTGAAAGAACCACTTATGCCTTTTATTACTCTGCTATAATCATACCTTTCAACACAGGACAGGAGAATTCATCACCTTACGTTACATGACATCTGATCTGATACTCTTTAGCAGAAAAAGATTTTTAGACATGTGACTTTCCAAGTTTCTAAGAAATTCACAAAAGGCAGGGTGTCTACAGTATCTTTTGCAGTAAGGAAATTTAACTCCGAAGCAGCCTTGCCCTTGAGGAAAAGATCTGTTAAGGCCTCTAGAAAAAGGGCACTACTGCAGGGTGCAGAGAGTCCACTCTATTCTACTCCAGCGCTTCATTGTGAGATTTCAGTAGTGTAAGCTCAGATCACTGGACTTGTAATGTATATTATTAGAGTAGACACTTTTAGACTTGTATGAGACAATTTGGACAAAATCACTGGTGTCAAATTAGCAGCTAACAGTGTTAAAGGAGTCTCCGAAGTACAATGAATGTGTTAGCATAACATTGACTAGAAACAGCAACTGTACTTTAGGTTAATAATACAGACAATCCTGCAGTATTGCGTCACTATGTGAAATTACACAGTTCTAAATGTCTAAAGTTAGAGGTTAATGTTGCATTTCATACACAAAGTAATATTTTTCTGTGCATTGTGAAAGGATCAGCAGTGACCAAATTATAGTGCTTTGTGTTAAAAATGTCTTCTCTAATTATATACTACACGGACTGGTTTGGCTCATGCTTAAAAGTAAGAATTTTTCTAATGCACGCTGTACCGTCCTGCTCTAACATAATGAACCCAAAAACCCTGAAGATTTCTAAGAATTTACAAGAACTTCAAAAAATGAACCCTGTCATTGGAGGGTGGGGGTATGCACAGGATAAACTCCACTTCTCCCTGCCCACTTGCCTCTCATTAGAGGCCTAGTCTTGATCATTGACAGTGGGGTGTATCAACAATGGGGTGAACTAGGATGCATCAGTTATCCAGTATGTATTTTGATACATAGTATTGTGTTGACCTGCACAACTGCCAACTAAGGAATTTTGAGTTTAAAGCCTGGTAGAGGACAGCTGGTGCTTCCACACCTCACACACAATGTCTCATCACATGCAAATCCCTGTCCTTGTGGTGCGTCATGTGCAACAGGGCTAAGGTCTTGTTCAGCTACGTAAGGCCTGGAATTTACCACTACAGTCCACTGTAATGGTGAATGCATGAATAGCAGTATAGTTTCACCAAGCACACCGCAGAAAAGCAGAAGTGAAACTGATATCAGCCACACTTTACAGTACTCCTGTATTATGTTAAGCACCATATGAGTTCTTAGACAATGATTAAAAACTCAAGGCTGAATGGTAATTCATTACGGAAATATTTGGGGAATAAGTACAAAAAAAATCCCTTAATCTCACCCAGGCTCTATTTTTAGTATAGTCAGTTAATGATCCATGAGAACTTATGACTTAGGTCAACCATCTTAGAGGACATTCGACAATATTAATAGCATCAGATCACAACTCAATCCCTCATGATTATCAGTAAGAGTCCTTCTGTCCTTCTAATAGTATTCCATGTCCTTGGATCAGCGTAGTTATGTTCATCTTCATACTTTCTGAACCTGAAAAAAGACTGCTAGCATATAAGGCAGTAAATGCAGATTCATCCTTTCCCAAAAAAATCTACAGCAGTAACTATAAGAAACTATAATATTACTATTGTGCTGCATAATATTCCTGTAGCACTCTTACTGTCTAACTATCATCTACAGTACTTATGTGTAGTATCCTGTAGTAACTAGTAATTGTCAGAATTCGTTAGAAGATTCTTATAGGAATCCTGCTGAAATCCTTGCAGTATTAATTTCTATAGATCTATAGACCTTTTTCATAAGAGCTGCAAGCAGTCAAAATCTTGTTTACAGGTAGGTACCTCTTCTGTTTTCAGGACTAAATCAACAGGCCTCATGTGCAGACATGGCCCGTCTCATAAATGCTTAACAGTCTTGAACACACACCTTCACATTTGTGTAACTCAGAATAAGAATAATTCTGAAACGGTTATTCCTGTCTTAAAATGACGGATTATGAGTTTTCCGTTGAAACGTATTTGACGTAGTATGAGTTTTCCGTTGCACCTTAAACAATGTAGGTTAGGTTAGCAGTTACATTCTGGTGACCGTACATGCCCCAGAACGTAACTGCTGCCACACTATTTAAGGTGGAACGGACAGTTCGAATAAGGAGCCGGCAATTCGAATATTAAGCCAACTTCATTCAGCCTCGTCTTTAAATGCCATGACAATGAAAGTAAGCTACTAAAAACACACGCAGTCTAACAGGATACGAAGTGAAACCCTCAGCCTGCGCATCTGCCGTGTCGGTCTCTTTACATGGAGGACGCTGCATGTATGCGAACAAAGAGAAGGAGGGCGACCTTAAGCAGCCGTTTGGCAGTTTGGAGCTTACCAGCCTTTAGAAGACCGTACACGTTGGCAGCAGCGCGTTTTTTGCTGCTGTCCACCACCTCCCTCCATGAAAGAAAAGAGCTGCTGAGAGTAACATCGCACACTCTGTTTTCCACGCTGAGCTGCGAGCACAACAGCCTTGGCTGCTTCTCCATTTCTTCACCGGGGGAAAAAGCCACCAGCTACGGCCAGTTAAACCCTAGTTATCTGGACGTCATCGTCGAACAGAGCGAATAGGTCTACTTTGGTTCCTCTGCGTTACAAAGACTCTTCGTTACAGCGGTTCTCCTTTCCCCCTTCGGTACTTTACATAGCGGTTTCTTCTTTCCTGAAAAAAAAAGAGGTCGCGCCGGAGCGCGCTTGCGTCATCGCGTAATCCTGCGGTGGGAGGAGCCAAAGGCCATTCAATGGACTCTCAGTGAATTTTGTTTTGATTTATTTTGTGCATTTATTAGATGTGATAGGGATAATTCTGCATCGCTTTGTCTATAATATGTATAAGACAGGCAACTATATATTGTCTAAATTAAAATTAGGTTAAATAATACACACTATGTTCTCAGATATGGACTGACTGAGAGGATGACGATTATTATTATTATAATATTTATAGCGTTTAAAATAGATTATTCGATTAATAAGACAGCTATTCAGGGCATTAATTTCATGTGATAAGGATCATTCTGTATATTTTTGTCTATGATTTATATAAGAGAACAAACTTATATTTTCCCACTTAACTTGGTCCTCAGCTGTCTATGAAAACGGATTAATTACTGTTAGAAAATAAATAAATAAATAAATAAAAACACACACAAAAAGGTCTTAAATAAGGATTGGCTTAGCTTGTCATTATTATTATTATTATTATTATTATTATTATTATTATTATTATAACAATAGTTAAAATAACATACATTAATAAGACAGCTATTTGTATGCTTAGTTTGTGTAATTAAGATCATTCTGGATTTTTTGTCTATTATTTATTTCAATATTTATGACTAAAAGCAGCATGTTATACACTTTCCAAATAATTGTGCACCCAGTTAACCATGTAAGTGTGTGTGATTAAGTATGTGTTTTAAAAAGCTATAATAAACTATACTGTTGTTGTTGTTGTTGTTATAGATGAGTAGTTCACTAATATTTTAGTGCAAGTTGCAGTATAAGACTGTAACATTTACATCATCATCAGACTCATCTTTTTCTTTTATTTATTTCTTATAATTATTTTGATTATTATTATCCACATTATTATTATTATTATTATTATTATTATTATTTATTTTTTTTATCATTACTACCAGTGTCTTTATGGATTGTTGTTAAAAGGACAGGGATTAATTAGGCAGCCAAAAAAAATCACTTGACAAAAATCAATTGTCTCTGATTTCATTAAGTGAAGGCTTTTTTTATTTTCTCGTTTGCATGTACATATTTTTAATATATGACCCAGGACATGGTTTTATCCACTACTCTGTACCAACTGATTTAGCAGAAACATTTATAGAATGTTAATATAGTACATTTGAGAGTGGTGAGTTTGTCCACATGGTTAGCCAAAAAACGTAATTTGAAAGAAATGCAGACTTTAGTCTATTGTGGAAGCCAACATCGAGTTAATATTTGACATATGATTTATTGTACAGTACTTATGATTTAAGTCGAGGAGAAAGGCTAGTACTTAAAGACAAATATAGCCATGATGACGTAACTTTATAATTTGACCTGAAACAAAGGTCACTGCTAACCACAATTTAGTAGGAATCTCATGTGTCATGTTGATATCATGCATTTCTCTGTGATGACAGGAACCAGAAGTCTGAAGCATACAATGCCTTTAAAAGCGTTCTCACGGTAATCATTGTTATCACACAAAATAGTTCCAAATATGTTTCCTGTTGTCTGTTTTATGACAAGTTTTGAGACAAGATTTTGGCCTTACACTAATTTTTAAAGTTCCATTTGTGCCAGAGAGGTACATGCTGGGAGTACTACGGCAAAATAATACCTAAAGAAAATTGACTCTTTTTGGTTTTACCATAAGTTTACCATTATCAACACTACACATGTAACTCAGAAGGTATATGTAAGTTCACTGGCCATTTTGGACAGCAAATAGAATAGTTAAATTTGTGTTGTAGACCTCACAACCCCTGGTTCCTCTCAACATCACTGTAAAGAAATCTAAATCATGAAGTTTCTGTACAAAAAAATATTTCATATTAAACCTTTCGTAATGACTTTTACAGGCATTTTGAGAAGTCAGTGGAACTTCCCCTTTAATGTTAGAGCGCTGTTAGGTTTTAATGAAACAGCAAAAGCCACAGACCCAGTGCAGAACTCACTCCTGATTGGCTTCTATTTGTCACTCCGTCCAATCAGATCGCTGCTTGCTCGCTGTGGGCTGCGCCAACATGGCGGCTTTCTGAGTTTACGAAGAAAAAACTAAGGGTGTAAATAAACATACTGCACACCATTTGCTCAATATACATTATTTTTAGCCCGTCTGCTATTGATGAGCTATCGCACAGACCGGCAAAAATGTCGAGTGACGGCGGTAAAAAGCAATTTTGGAAAAGAAACACAGCGAAGGTGCCTGGCAGGTGAGTGACGTGTTCATGCTAACTAGCTACTTAGCTCGGTTAGCTTCAACCTCTTCATTTCAAGATATGTGCAGAAAATATTATTACAATACATTTGAAAAGTTCGCACTGTCAAGCGCTGTCTGTCATCAGGGCTCAGCTCTTGTGTCTTTTGTTAGGCAGCCGGTCTCGTATTCATATGCACTCTGAAGTTAGCTGGGTAACGTTAGCTAGTCTAACTAGCCTCTGTCTAAGTTGCAAAACCACTGATTTAGCTGCAACAGATATATATTTTTGCTTTCCATGTAACTAAGCCAGTAACAGACTTTCGTCTGTAAGGTTATATGTGAATGACACTGTAATGCACTGTTGTGAGTTACAGTCTTAGTTCCTGTTGGTGGCTAGCAGACCTGAAAGGCCTGTTTTGGATGTAAACTTAAGTAGTACAAAACTGCACAACGTTAGACATAAACACTAAACATTACCACTGCACGGCACTGACATACAGACTTAAAGGGGAATTCCACTGATTTTTCAAAATTTCTGCATTATTCAGTGACTGAGATGTAAACAGGGTTATTCATTGTAGTTTGATGTTAAGTGGTTCATTTGTAGAGAAACTTATTGACTCCAGGGGTCCTGATGTTACAAAGCCAATATAGTCAGTTTATTTACTATCCAAAAACACCAGTATACCTAGACATGTTTTCTATGAGTTTTATATGTAATGCTGGTGATGGTGAGAAAAAAAAAAAAAGTTTTCTTTGGGGACTGTTTTGTCTTAGTCTGCCCTTCTGTATCTTTCCACTATGAATGGATTAAAATGAACAGACTAAAAACATTTTACTCCAAAGACTTTATTAGAAATCTACTTAAAAACATTGTCTCAGAGATCAAGCTGAGTGTTCATAACCAGTTCATATAATAACTTTCTATGAGGCATTAAGCTCCTCAGATGTCTGGTTCCTGTCAGCACCATTGTGAACAGTTCTGATTTGTTTCCTTTCTCTAGAACAAAGCGTTTCACACAAACCCACTCTGAATGATTTATGTTAACCTTTTAGTCATGTAGACATGAAAAATCAGTGGAGTTCCTCTTAAACATGAAGACTGCAAATCTTTCTCCTCTACACAGTTTTTGCTCTTGGAGTCATGGATATTAATGTTGATAGAGGTGCCTGATTTCCGATCAGTAAATAGAGGATGCTTTACAAACTCTTGTTTGTTCCAGTTTCAGATGATACTTACCAGTGAATTAAACACAACTGAGCAAAATGAAAACTGTAAATAGGCTTATTAAAGTACAAAAGTAATTTTTACTGTAAGGGAGTGTTTGTTTTTTCCATTCAGGACCTATACATGAATGCCATATATTTCTCAACACACTGGCCTATAACTGTTGATCTCATAAAGTTCTTGATGTCCTATAATACGTAAATCTGCCTTTTTCATTTTTCTGAATTTGAATTTCATTATTAGCTAATCAAGTAGGGATGCATGATCAAAATCAGCCTGAGATTGGCTGCTTTTTGCTCCAAACAAGCAGTTAAGAGCTGGTTTATTTTTTTATATTGGCAGATCTGTGTTGCAGTTTTATATTGTAAATAATGTTAGCCATGTGCATGTATTTGTGCTGTATTTGAATGCTATGCCTATACAAAATGTCATAGTATAATTAGGCACAACCTATTGTGCTAAGTAGCCAGTTACTTCTTACTTTCAATGTAGCACTTTATTTGATTCATTTTATTCATTTTTCATTTAGTAATTTAAATGCCAATTGACTCATTAAACAGCTAATAATGCTATTTGTATTGTGACATCAGCTGATAGAAAGTACTAGAAATGTGCTAGTGTTCATTTTACCCTTCCTTTCTCTCGCCTTTGGTACAATTGGTCATTCCCTACTTTTAATAGGTCTACAAAATATTGGCTTTCACCACAGGGCTACCAAATGGATTAGAAATTACCTCTCGTGTAGACAGCAATTTGTGACCCTGGGACAAAGTAAATTAGAGCTACTACTGATAACTCAAGGTTTGATCCTCGGACTAGTATTATTTAATATTTATGTTAATGACATTGCCACGTCAATTGTCAATTGCAAAGTACATTTATATGCCCATGACACCATCTAGTACTGCTCAGCTGACTATTTGGTGCAGTGTATTTTACCAGACTCGTTCCAGTGATTGGATCACTCTTTAGGTGCCGAGAGCTTTTACTGAACTGGGAAAATCTGCTTTTAGCTACAGTGCAACAGTGCTGGAGCTCATTACAGGAAACTGTAAAGCTTCACTCGCTAACGTCACATGAACATTTGAAACTCTTAGTCTCTAACCACCTCCACTCAGTCTGTAACTGTTTTATTTGATTTTAATTAACTTTTAATATAATTTTGGTATGTTTTAGTTACTGTTTCACTTTTATTATTCTTTTTCTTATTTTATTATCAACTTTTATTTCTTAGCTAGTGTCAAGTTATTGTTTCCTGTCTTCTATTCCTTGTTTATTTCATAATCATGTTTTATTTATTTTACCCCTATTTGGTCTGTTATTTATTAAGTTATTATATTGTTGCAGTTTTACTGGGTTATTTATTTTTTTGGTATTCAATTTACTGTTATGGTTATTATTAACTTTTTTTTAGCATTCGATTTGTTTTTACAAACCTATTTTTATTTTCAGTTCCTGTGTTCTGAGTTTAAATAAATGTTGATTGATTGCTTTGGGTTACAGAAGGCTAATGTAAATCGGTTAGGAAATTGCCCAACAGCAAATGTTGCTGTAAATAAGTCAGAATCTGAATTGACAGTTAAAAAGTTGTCTATGGTCCATCTATACATTTAACCAATGTAGTTGGCTAGCTAAGTGTTTGGGATATTTGGATTTTAAAAACAACTTGTGCTGATTCATATATGTCATATGGAAATTCATTCTTAACCTTGAAAAATTAAAAAGGTCAACCTTATTAAACTTGAAGTATGTTATAGAGTAAGCACTGTAATATTTTGAACTTAAATGGCTTTCGGGATGCTTGACGTTTGACAGAGAAATATTAGCTACATCAAGTTGTTTATGCTTTTACTCAAGGAAAAGATGTGTCTGTGTTCTCAACCACCGTGTGTTAATCTTCAAAAACTATTCATGCTTACTTGTACATGTATATGCATTTATGCAGTATTCTAACCTTATTTATCCTTTCCTGTTTGCAGTATACAGCATGTTTATGGAGCCCAGCACCCTCCATTTGACCCACTTCTACATGCTAAGTAAGTCAACATGTATATGAATAACTTTATTATTAGTTTTGAACACACTGTCTGTTGGATTGCACATAGCCTTAACAGTGGATGGTGCAAGGATAAATGAGAGTTTCATTAGAGAAAAAGTCTTCATCTGAGGCTTCTTCACAAAGTCTACTTCACATCGGAAGTTGCTGTAATAGTTACATGTAAATCCATGGGTCAGTTAAGATCAATGATCCAAACAGAGCTCTGCACATTTTTACGTTTTTGTTAGGGATGCACAATGACTGGAATCATAGCATTATTAGCAGTTTTTTTTCATACCTGTGCATCCCTAATAGGGCAGATGTGCAATTGCCCTGAGACACCAAATCTCATTCAAACTGAAAACGGCATGCTTTTCTGTTGTTTAATATTTAGTTGATGGTCATAGGAAGTTTTTAATTGTTTTTATTCAGCCGATCGATTATTGATGACTTGTGCTGTGGATGGTTCACATCATCACAATAAAAATACTTTAGGAAAAGATTTTATACATGCCACTAAACAAGATGCTCCTGTAATGGCTTAGGTCAGTGTTTCTCAACCCTGCTCCTGGTGGCCCACTGCCCTGTACTTTTTATTGTTTCCCCTGCTCGCAACACACTTGATCCAGCTAATCAGCTAATTAACAGCTCTTTATTGATTTAAAGTGGTGGGAAATGCACTAAATTATGCAGGGCAGTGGGCCTCTAGGAACAGGGTTGAGAAACACTGGTTTAGTTAATGCAGAACCCACACTTATTTTGAAACAGCGGATTAGCAGGGCTGTAGAGCCTCAAACGCAACCCTGCTTGTTTGTGTGTGCCTCTCCGCCTCTCCACCCAGTTTATTCAAATTGCATCCAGATGCCTAGTTTTATCATTGACAGTGGTTTACATGAAAAATGAGAGATGCTCGGAACAGATTGAAGGCTGTATCAGAGATACAGTTTTCCATGAGCTTGAATGTTCCTTTTTAAATATTTTCCATACTGTGTTGTAATTGTTATCCTTACTGCTCGTATTTCTCATTTGCTCAAAAGCTTACTTCATTTTGTCAGTTAAGTTTACACATTAGGTTTGAGGGAACTGAAAAGAGTCTCTGTTTTTGTACTATACACTCTTAAAAAGGTGGTTCTTTAAGGGTTCTTTAGTAAAGAAAATGGGTTCTTCAGATTGATGGAGAATGTGCTATAGATGGTTCATCTACAGCACATTCTTAAGAACCCTTTTGTCATGCAGAGAACCCTTTAATCATGCAAAGGGTTCTTTGAGTGTTCATGGTTCTATATAGAATCATTTTCAGTGTAATTCATATGCGTATTATTTATTGAAACAATTGCCATTTCTTACATACAAGTTGTACTCAACATTCAGTTAATCAGTTGGCTGATCTAAATGTTTATTTCTTTTTTGCAGAAACAAGTTGTTTCAGTTCCACTTTGGAAAGTTAAATTGTTTTAGTTTGTTGTGTCAGTTTATGGAGTAATTATTATGGAGTCATAGCTGCGTTCCACAGGCGGTGCCCTGATCTTTGTGTTCTTGTTTTGGGTTCCTGACATTTTCAGTCACTTTATCAAAAATTGTCACTGATATCATCAAAGTTATATTTAGCAAGGGTTGACTTTTGTGTGACTGTGCTTACCAAGTGTCTGGATTTACATTCTGGCTGCTTTGAACTTCTTAAATGAAAGTGTTAAATGAGTAACATTTTAAGTGTCTCAGGTTCAGGTCTAGTCAAAGCCAAAAACATTTACATTTCTCAGGATTCTTTTGGGAACAGACACAGTGCTACGGGTGTGAAAATCAAGATTTATGTCAAAAAAAAAACAGAACATTCTTTTAATTAACATTTTCTTGTTTGCCAAGAGGAAGAATGTAGAGAAACCGCAGTAGTCCTTAGAGAATTACATGTCATTTTCCAGTTAAGGTGCAGTTATTTCCAGTGGTAATAAGGTTTTTTGGAGGATAACGAACATAATTAGCATATTGTCATGTAAATGTGGCTCCTGAAATGAAGAAAAGAGGAACTATTTCTCCTGCTTGGGGAGAGCACTGTTCCAAGGTTCTAATGAGATTTTGAGTGTGATATTTGTGGTGATTGTTAAAAGTATTTTCTGTTTTGTACATTGTGAGAAGGCACACAGGTGGATATTTTGATCCACCTTACTTGTTACTTGCTGTTACCTACTTGTTACTTGTCTACTTTTTGCCTGTTTTTACATATTTTTAAGTAGCTTTGCAGAATAGTTTCAGCTTCAGGTGGTATGGACTGTCAGAGATCGATTGCATATGAAGCTTGCCACAGCTTCCAGGATTTTGTCAGTTGCATTCTTATTGGCCATCTGCATGTCCATGTGTTACAGAACATGTAAAATGGCAATGTATTGGTATGTTTCCATTTAAGTATCTCACTCATATGCAATGTTGGGCTCAAAATGAAAAATTCTAATTCAGTACTGCCCTTTTAATTTGCCCTCTGGTATAAGAGTATTGATATTTATTTTATATGAAGAGCTAGAGGTTTATGACTAGCTTTATTTAAGTTAAAATGTACTTCCAGAACTGCGTGGTTGTGCTTAAAGCGACTGTCCAATAATGGTGTTATAATGATAATTAAAATTCACCTGATATGCATTTACAGTGTTTAATAATGCATTTGAAATAGCATTATCAAAGAAAACCAAGCTAGAAAGATGGCATAATTTAAATGTAAAAAGAGAAACAGTGCCTCTCCTCTTTGCATTTACATATTCTTGCCTACTACACCCATTCCATGTCAGAAAGATTTTGAAAATGCACTCGACCTGATTGCATTTTCGTTTTCACACATTTCCTCATGTGAATCATCCTATCAGGGCGTGGTCAACAGACTCTCAGTGGCATTAGAAAATAAGGTGAAACAGAGCAGTGTATCCACTTGTGATATTATATCTTTATACATGACCCACAAAGAATCATTAATTGAACGCTTAATAAGCAAGTTAAAATTATTGTCCATGTGACTTTGGCTGTAATGTGTTTTGTATTTACATTTTGGCTGCAGTAAACTTTGGAAAGCTGTAGATGTGTTAAAACATTTTGGTGGAAGTGTATTAATGTTTCAGTCTTCAGTTTTTAGCTTGTCTGTTGTGCTTGAAGTCTTCTCAGTATTATTCTTGTATTGCCTTCGTTTTTCTCTAACTTTTGAGTATTTGCCTCAGGTGAAAAGATGTTTCACTTGCAGTAGGCCAAATCTGACAGTCTCTCTCTTCCTCCCACTCAGTTTGATCAAAGCTGGAAACAAGCCCCCCTCGACGAGCACGCCAGGCAAGCCGAAAAAAGCCACCACCTTCCAGGAGTTTGAGAGCATCACCAGCGACGCCTGGGACGTTGGAGATGACGACGATGAGCTCCTAGCCATGGCTGCCCAGAACCTAAACATTGAAGTCGTCATGGAGACGGCCAATAAGGTGATAGAGAACCACAGCAAACTTCAGGAGCGAAGGCAGCAGCAGCAGCTGGACGAGGTGTTTGAGCCTGAGGAGAAAGAGGAAGAGGAGGGGCATGAGGAGGATGAAAATGAGCAGGAGGAAGAAGAGGAGGCAGCCGAGACGACAGCAGAACTGTCCTTCAGCACTGAGCGCCTCCCACACAGAGACAGCAGGCTGGTGAAGTCCCACAGCGAAGCGCCCATTGGCTCCCCAAAGGGTCAGTATCCATCAGTTCAGTAGCATGTGCTGGCATCTCAACTTTTATTAATTCACTTAATCTGCCAAAGATAAGAGATAACACTTTATTCATCTCTGCTGGGAAATTTAGGTGTTACAGCAGCATAGGTACAATAAAGGACAACATCCACGACCGTTAAGAAGTTTGGGATTGTAATCATTTCTGTTTTATTCAATAATAACGTACAGTACAAATTGATATAGTACAGGGTCGGCCTGAAGGTTGGTGCACAGACTGCTGGTCAACATAGCAACGCAGACAAGAATCTCGTCTAGCTTGTAGCTAACAACAAGGCAAAGAGAAAGATTTAAGATGAATGTTGATAATTTGTAGATGCATAGACTTATTTGCATTTTAAGCACTCCAGCTGGTTTCCTGATAAGTCAGCTTCTCTTTCACCAGCGTCTTATTCGAACTTTACTGATCCACCTTAATTGGTGCAGCAGTTGCATTCATTTAAGGTGGAATGGGAAGATTAGAAGAAGCTGGTGAATGAGAAGCTGACTTCAAATCAAACATTGAGTGACATTTTACAAGAAACTATTCTACTTTTGAGGAAAAGTTTCCTGCCGGAGATGTGGGAAAAGTGGCTATAGCTGAGCTAAAGCTTAACGTCTGCGTTTTCATTTATATTATAATTTTTAGCCTACACTAGGACATTAGCTAACACATATAAATCTTTTCAGTATAAAGCTGGTTTTACATGGTGTAACATTCATGCGTCCTTAGTTGCGTGAAACCTGCATGAACCTAAGTTGCACTTGGGTTGCATAATGTAATGCATAATACAAGTTTCATGAAATAGTCAAACAGAATGCTGATAACACATCATGTTATGGGTCAGATCATATTTAAAGCGGTCATTTGAATCTCATGAACAAAAGGTCTGGTGTGCGTATGCACGCTTGCTGTTGTGTTGGTGGAGATAGAGACGCTGTCTGAAGCTCAGACACTTATCTGCCTGCAGTGGGGACTGGGGCAGTGATGCTGTCTGCTCCTGCTGTGCACACAAGCACAGAAAGCCCCCCCTTCTATTGCCTCTTTCTATGGCTGAAACCTGTATTCCTCCACAGCTCGGTCTGTCTATCTCCTCTGTTTGGGGACATATCACTGCGATAATGGAGTTCTTGTCTGTTTGTTCTATCCTCACTAGACGTTCATGATACTATGATAAAATCCTGACAATGTTTTCATCCAAAGTCAGCAGTGGTTCTTGTTGTAGACACCATATAGTTTTTCCCAGTGCCTCTCACATTTAAGGCTGTTAATCATGTTGCATATCTGAGAGTTGCAGTAGCACAACTGCTTTTTTTCCATTGCACATATGGCTGAAGGTGACAGTTTTCTTTAGTTCGGTGAATAGCTTGTAAGCCATAGGCTTATAAAACAGTTATTAATTTTGAGACTTATTCACTAAGTGTTATACATTATTAGGGAACTGCTATGAAACTAATATGCATGTTTTGTAGTTATGAGAGTGAGGAACGACCCACATACAGGCTGACAGTTTTGTGCTAGATAATCAGAAAAAAGGAGTATGTTATTAGGGTTTGATATTGCCTATTGCTCAGTCTAACCTTTCATTTTTTGGCCACTAATAATGCAAAGCCTATGACCTGAGTGGTCACTTGCCTTAGAGAGTTTTTATTTTTGCAGTTGAATTTTCACTCCCGCATGAGATCCAGAGCCTGTTTGGTCGGACACGGTACTTAATGTATCAAATCAGATTTTGTCGGAATTCTTCAACTGTAAAGTTATAACTGTGATAGCTAACATGACTGCAAGTGACAGTCTTTCTAGAAAGGGCAAAAATTTTTCACAGCGCTGTATACGTAATTAGACCCATTGTATTTAAAAGCCAGCCAATCGCTGTAGCTTTTTATTTCATTCATATTGTTTAAATATGCACCTGATTTTTTCATTTACAAATATAAAATGCCATTTTAGCCCATTAAAGTGGAAGTAATGTTATTTATGTTGTGTAAATATATTTATATTGTAATATACATCATATTATATTTATATTGAAACTATCCACTAGAAATTACCACTTGGCCCTTTGATCTGTGTTTCATGTGTTCATTTAGCCCACAGTGTTAAAAGGAACGAATAATACAATATAAACCAAAACCAGAAATCGGAATGGGCTGGTGCATCACTAAGGCTACATTCACATTACCAGGCTGAAGTGGCACAAATCCTATTCTGCCTTCATGTGACACAGATCAGATTTTTTTCAGAGCTATGTGGACACACAAATCTGATCTGAGCCACTTCCATATAATCTAATAATGATCTTCATGACGAAGGCTTGTTCTGCCGGTTTAGTCAGGACATAGGTTGTCCCTTACCTACACGAATGTGAACCATCAAGTTAGAAAACTTGGATCTGAGCAAAAAATCTGAATTGAACAATGAGGCTTGTAATGTGAATGTAGCGTAATTGGATACATTTAACAGATTTGTAGGGCAAAGAAGCCCCGTATATTGCTTCCCATTTTTTTGTTTTGTTATTTGCAATTTCTTCCGCCAAAAAAAGCAGTTTAAGCAGTGTTGCGTAAAAGGATCATTTTTGGTAATTGCCAGCTGGTGGCCTGGAACAAAACAGTTATGATTTAAAATAAAAAAAATGCTTTTTGCTGCTGACGGAACAAAACGTATTGAATCTCCGAAAAGGTAACTTTACATGAAGAGGAAAATGTTCTCAACTTTTAATGGAAGTAAATGGCGAAAGAATTATTCCAAGTAATTTTGGACCATTTCTGTTGGTCCATTTATGATAAAATTTTGACACAACCTGAAGGGCAACTGCCTTTTTCAAATTATGCAAAAAATTGAAAAAGCCAAAATTGGAGATACAAGGTTTTGTCCCGACAGCAATGTTTTTTTAGATAATACAACACTGATAGAAAGTCTTTCAACATTGTACCAATCTTCATGAATCAGCAAATGCCATGCATTTTCCTTCCCTACTGTAATATTTTGGTGAGAGAAACACAGAGTCAGAAAGGGTTCAGATGATGGCTGTTTTGTTGTGGGAATGTGAGATGAGGACCTCCCTGACCCCTGAGGCACAGTTACATAATCAAAACCCACAAGACGTTTTTGAGGCAAAAGGTCAAAAGGTAGTACATTTAGTTGAAAGATTACAAGAGAACAAAAAATTTGTTTTTTAAATGATATATGAAGAATCATGCTTAATATGGCCAGAGGCTTGAACTAACAGGATAAAAAATTCTGATGCCTCTGTTTACACAGAGTCTCTGACTGATGTTTTTCTGTAGCACCACTTGTTTGTATGTGACTTCTCAGCTTGACCAGAATGTCTCCAGTTCATTAGAACAGAAGAATGTTATTTATTCATTTAAGCTCATATGATTTGTTATTAGAGCCACTTACACAGTTGGAGTGGAAAGAATGTTTGAGCAGTCAGCTTTCATACTTCAGGAGCAAAATGATGATCATTGCATCTCTATTAGAAGAGATAAAAAAAAGAGATGTTTTCATATGAGCATTCAGACAGAAAATGATTGGTGGAGCATACCTTTCCAACCTCCAACAACTTTAAACTTGCTCTCTCCATTGTAGCAAAAAACCAGACCAGAGTTCAACGCCTCTTTTTCTAATGGAGTACGATAAAATGGCAGCAGCACTGTTCGTATCATGTAAAAGAGTGGAGCGGACAGTGTTTCATTTCTGAAACGGTAAAAGAGATTGAAAACCTGTTGCGCTTATCTGACCTTATCCTTTTAAAATGGGTCAGAATAACAGTCCATCAGATTAAACAGTTTAGTACATGAATAGAATGGGTTGTCCTGGGTGATGTATGCTTTTTAAAGAAGTTATAGTGCTTATGACAGCAGCAGTAATGAGGTCTATGAGAGTCATGGCTAGTTTTCACTGTGTGTAGCACCCTGTGATCATGACCTTGTGGAATACATAACGGTGTTCAAATGTGGGTGGTCATGCCCTCAGTTAAGATCTTATAAAGTAGCCTAGAAAACTTCTTTATACCTTTAGAATCATTTAATTTCTTCTCTATGATGCTGTTTCTGTTGCTACAGCCTGGTGGCACTCAGAGGGTCCTGTGTGCTGACAGCAGCTCTTGCCTCTCTGATTAGCTTATGTGGCCAGAAGAGCAGCCAGGATTCTGATGCTTCTTGTGTGGTCATTAGCCCTTTTAAGTCTAGAGTTGTTTTGCTACACTGAGTCTGATTTTTTTTCATTTGTTTCAGTGTCAGAAATGGCAAAATGTAGGGCTGGCCTGAGCAGAATTTTACAGCCTTCAAATATTCATTCTCAATTCTGCTTTTAAAAACAGTAATAGTTACATTTCTAGCATCTCTTACATTTTACATAATCTAAAACGAGCAGACATATTTAAAGGGGAGATGTGGCAGTATTCAGCCTTTAGCTGACTTTACCTATGTATGACCTTTTTTTTGTAACCTCATGTCATATGTCACTTTTTCTTCTTGCTTTTTAATGACAAAATATTTTGTTTAAAGCAGTCGTGATTGAGCCTTCACCTCTGAAACTGTCAGGAATCCACATGAGTGTTCTTCAGTTCTGGTAAAAGGTTGCTGAAAGACCACACTTCTTAGCACTAAATAAGGAAGCAAATATCAACATAATGAATGAATACTTAAGTATTCAATTTATTCATGCCACCCCTACAAACATGTAAAAGTTTTTTTCTTTTATGCTGTGGGTGAACTAAATTAATTAATGCTTATTATTTTGTTGTGTTTACCTGGTGCAGAGATGATCGGGGAGCGGGCTGCACTACAGAGACAACAATCGCTCCCACATCGGCCAGTCATTCCACTGGTTGCCCGCATGGCAGATCAGAATACGTCCGGCACCCCAGCCATGACGGAGAGAGAGGCCTCCAGACTGGACAAGTTCAGACAGCTCCTGGCAGGCCCTAACACTGATCTTGGTAAGCTGATGGTCTGTGCATGTGGACGCTCTTGAACTATTGTAGTAGCAGCATTAGTCAGATGCTTCAGGCCAAAGAAAAAAACTCAAACATAAGACAACTTTGAGTAATGTAGTCATCTTGTCCACAAAGGGCCGGTATGGTTTTTACTCTAACAAAGCAGGTTTACATTAGAAATTGTTTAAAGACTGAGACCAACTGACCAGCTATAGCTTTGTAGGAATAAAAACCTGCAGTCGCATTGGTCCTTTGTGGATAGAATTGGACACCCATGCAATAATTTAATGGTAAAAGTTGTTGTTATTTTGATGCTATTTACTAAGGATGTGCATGGATATTTGAGTACTGTATTACCTGTTAGAGGGACCAGTATTTGAGTATTGAAGGTGTTAGTGTATTCATTGCATTTCATCAAAGGAAACCGTAGGGCTATATTGAAATTGTGTTAGAAAGTGTGCAATTTTCAAATTGTAAAAGTTGCAATTTTAATTGTGTACTACATTATTCAACATTGTCTTTTGTTTTTTTAGTTAACCTAAAGATGCAGAGCTTGTGAAACGGCTGTCTGGCACGCTACAGTGTTCAGGCCTCAAGCTCAAAAAATGACTGTGCTGATTCTTCTTGGCAAAAAAGCTTAATTTATAGAATATAATCACATTTTAAATCTGTTGCAATATTGGTCAGAAACCCAAGAAGATGGAGAAAATATACAGACAGTAAAACAAAACAAAAAAAAAAGATTTTATTTTTAACAGCACTATGTATTACACTTTGCTACTACAAAACGAAAACACCTTAACGTGAATGCGTTGCCGAGGACACATTGCTAAGGATGTGACTGAGAAGGCAGAGACAGCACTGCTGGCTCTCATACAGATTATTTTGCTCACAAGGCTAACTAACATATGAAGAGTCCTCATCAGCATCCAACATTGTGCTGGTTAGCTCTAGCTCGGCTCATTAGCCCCTCAGAGGCAGCAGCCTCCTTTACTCATTCAAATTTGTGTGTTTTTAGTTTTTTAGCATAAGTCCGTAGTGCCTTCACCTAAAACAGTAAGCCTGCAGCCCGATGTTAATTTCGATAGTTGTTTTGCTTTTTTTAACTAAATAACCACATCCCTGTACTGTTTACTCCAGTGGGGGTCCACTCTGGTCTTAGAGGTCCAGTATCCAGCACTGCAGTAAAATACAGACAATGAAAACAGTGCAGCAAATCTTTTTAATTTGTGTATTTCAAAATAGCCCAGAGTGTGTTTTTTGGTCAAAATGTGTGCATACTTTAATATTAATATAAAACTTTCTTATTATAAGACTTAACATTAATAATAATACTTTCTAATATAATACTTTCTTATTCATTTTCATTGTCCAAATGTTGAATGTGCACCTTCAGATCAGTGCATCATGATTCGTCAAATGACACTTTAATCTTAAAAATACTTAGATAAACGATACCTTGACATCTACACTTCTGCGGAATAGAGTTCATTTTGATTACGTGCTGCACCTCAGAGCATAAAAGTCAAAAGTTTTTCCAAATAAAAGTTAATCATTTAATCACATTTGTATTCACAAATCAAGTAATCACATCCCAGAGAGTTGATGATGAGGCAGGAAGACTGTTAATGAAGCCTTCTAAAGTCATACATGCTGTATGAAATCAGTGCTGTCCATAGGGCCATAGCACATTAGAGAGGAATCTGGTCCTAGATCAGCACTAATGCTTTGAGAAACTTTGTAAATACGATACCAGATGACTTACATTCAGTTCCGCATATAAACTCATCTGGCCTGTTATTTTCCAGTGGTAGCATGTTGAAAAATGGGAAGTCCCAAATCTGTGCCACTGTTTGCCTTTTGAAAACAAGTGACCATTGTTTACCCTCATTACTTTAGTAACAAACCAAAATAAACCGTTGACTAATTGAACATGAGTTCAACTTGATTTAAAAATAGCCTGAACGCTGTCATCTTACACAAGTTCAAAAAGAATTTCATGTTAATAAGTAGCACTAATTTGCTACTTAGTAGTTTTTTTTGACACCTAATAGCAATAATTTGAGCTGATGGAAATTATTGAAATGATTGTTATTGTTATAATTATTGTTCTTGTTATTGTTATACTTATTGTCAGCTTTTACAGTCATATCTTTACATCACTGTAAACAGAACGTGATTTGGGTGCATTTTTATCAGTTGAGTTGATGTAAAGATATATAAATACAAGAAAGCAGAAACACATTTATAGGTCTTACGAAAAAGTTCTGACCGGTGCTATAACATCTTTAGAGGGTAGTTGTGAGTAATGTTTGTTTATTTGAAATGGAGCTGTGTCTGGTGTCAGTTGGGCGCTACTAAGGATCAACAGCGAGGTAGCAATTGGACTAATCAGCTAATTTGGCCACTTTAAGCTTGTGCTTTTAATAATTACAATGAACAAAAAATGACAAATTGTTAATTAAATTTATTTGTATGACAATTGGTCAGCTAAAGTTTCATGGTCATGACGGGCCTAGTCATAATAGAAAATAGTTGAAAGAAGTAAACAAAAATGCACTTTGTACTTGAAAGTAAAACCTGGAAGCAAAATGTTTGTAATTTAGTATTCTTATGTAATTTTCTGCTTACGAAAATGAATAATGAAATGAAATGAGTTGTAATATGGATGCATTTTTTTTTCTAATATATTGGAAAACCTGAAGTTTTATGTTCTCAAAACTTTTTGTTTTGGCTCCAAGCACTGCATTAGATCTGCCTGTTTACAGATGAATTAAGAGAGTGAGTCTCAGAGAAACAACAACACATAAGCTCTGACGTGTTCGTGGCTGGAGTGTTGATTCTGAGCTTTCCGTACACATATACATTTGTGGCTCTGTAAAGATCAATGCGCAATTACACAAGTCTCATCCTACATCAGAAACTTTGGCACTTCATAAAAGTTTCAAGGACTCCAGCTTTGTTCATCCCATCTCCTGCGGTAGCTGTCAGTTTTGTGGGGATAAAAGCTTGTAGGCAGACTGATAATGAATGGAGTTTCAGGTGTAAAGGCAGGGCTCATGTGTGTGTTCTGAATAGCTAGTGCGTAATCTCTTTTGAGTTTCTATCCGCTTTATTCCCCTGCTGAACTTTTTTTAAATGTTATTTTATTATTAATTACTTTCACCGTACTGGAGTTCTTCGGCAGTTCCCTTGGCACTGAGTGCAAACTACAGGGTTTGGTTTTTCCCGATTTTCTTTGAATTTTCGAAACTACAGAAATTCACTCTTCAGAGGCTCAAGTGGGGCTAATGGTCGATTACAGATTACTCACAGGTTATTCTTATGGCTTGCGATTAACTTGCAGACAGTTTCGAGGTGATCTGATGTTTTTCAAATATTTGATGTTTTTCACATATACAAAGTGCCTTCGTTTGTATTCTACATTTAAAAATGTAGAACATGAGTCCTTTAAAAAAAAAGGAGGTTGAGCGTCTTTGGGGCAGGGTAACGCATATAAATTGACAAACAGAAAACATGAGAGTTGATTGTTTTTCAACTTCAATGCGTGGCTTAAAAATATGAAGCCTAGAATTATGCTTTTCCGTCGCAGTGCTGCATAGACGACAGCGAAGTGATGCGTGCTTGAGAGAGTTTGAACACCCCTTAATAAAGTTGGGAGAAAAACTGACTTGACCCAAACCTGACAGATATTTGAGAAATGACATCCAAACCTGGCCAAACTCAACGTAAATTGTCAGGTCCCATCAGGTTCACACAAATTTTTCAAACTCTGATCCGTGCTCTAGTGGTTTTGTTCTTTTTTTCCCTTCTTTAGCAGCGGTAATCAATGAGGAGAAATCGTCTTAATGGAAGGTTAGGTATATCTCATGCATGAAGTCTGCTTAGCTGGCCACCTTTTTCAATCATTGAATGCTCTGTCAGTTTTTCATCAAGGTGAATGAGTATTGGGTGCTCTGTTTTTTCCTGTGCAGCAGATGACTTAGGCTCGATGACTTTTTTTTTCCCTCCAGATCAGAGGCTATTTAGTATGTTTGGCCGAGTGTGAAAACTGTTTTCGAACCTGTGTGTGGACCTGGTTCACTTAAAAACCATGGTTTCCAGTTCACTTCAGAAGAATCCGAGTGCAGTCTACACCGTGTATTAAAACTATTTACTGTAAGTGTGGTTTTAGAATAAAATAATTTGTTCAACTTTTTCTTTTTGACAATCATGTTCAGTAAATGCAAAAAAAAATAAATAAAAATAACATCCTCAGTAAATACAGTTTTGTTTTAATAAATGCAAAGTGCAAAGTGAGAGCTTTGCACAAAATTGACTTCTAATGCCAGCCTGCTTGGCTAAAAATAATGTGCAAGGGCATATTGTTCACAGGTGTTTGTGCATGAAACATGTAGCACACTCAGCAATAACTGCTGTTGTTCCCTTCTCTAAATGAGCCCAGAATGGTCCTGGATGGGGCGTAGGGGTGAATACGACTGTAGTCAAATGCAAAAGTTTGAACACCCTCAGTTAGAATTTTTTTTTTAATGTTCTAAGTAGTGAACGCATCCTCTGAATAAACTTAAACATGGCATTTTCCGACAGTTGTAGTGCCAAATTTCTATTTCTATTTCTCAGTTTTACATATTGCAAAAAAAAGAAACATACGTCATTTCATTCAAACATTTCCCCAGTATGTTAAGTTTACCAAACAAACCATAATTATGCATTAAAATGTGCAGAATTGTGTTGTCTGTAGAGAATATGTCAGCTTATTTTCACTTAGAAAATCAGCAAAACATATCATTTGAATAGAGGCACCTAAACCTTTACATACAGCTGTATGTTATTGTTGTGATGATAAATAACATCACAGTATGCATTTCTGAGTGTATCTTGGGTATTGTTAGTAGTTCTAGAACACCTAACACCTGCATTTAGCATAAAAAAGACAGATTTTGACCAATTATAGAGAATCTGTAAGCAACAACAACTGGTATAGAGTAACTATGTAAGCTCCA